GCCCTCGCCCCTTCGCCTCCCTCCCCCAGCGCAAAACCCGCTCATTTACATTCCTGCAAAATGTTCGCTGCGACGAAAGGCTCTGCTCCTGGAGCTGGAGCTGACGCCGCGTCTCCCACCGCCAAAGGCCGGAAGACCCTAGGCACGCTGGGCGGCCTGCGCCTCCCACCCGCGGTCACCGCTAGTCTGGCGCGCAGGACACGGCCTCCGGACACTCGCGTCTCCCACGCTGGCCGCCTAAGCTCTCCTCGGTTGTTCTGTCCTGGGGACTGAAGAACCGCAGAGAGGTTAGAGGCCCGCGTCCCCGACGCTGCCCCTCCTCCCTGGCAGGCTCTTTCAAAGGAGGAGTCTCCCGGAGGGGGCGGGGGCGGGGACGCGCTAGGAAAGGGACCCTTGAAGAGGTGGGCAAAGGGTGCCAAGAGCACCGCGGCAGTTTGGGGAAGTTTGGGGAGGTTAGGCACGCTTATACCTCTGGTGGGGGATGGCGACTGAACCTCGGAGAGCGCCGATGGGCTCGCGATCCCGGCCGGGCGCCCCCAGAGACCGCAGTGTCTGGGAGCCCTGGTGTCTCCGCGTTGTCCGCGATCCCTGGAAATGGGAATCCGGGTCCGGGCAGAGTATTCCCTGAGCCGGGAGAGCCAAAAGCTTCAGCTTACTCCCTCCCCAATGTACACACCCTCTCCCGGGAGATTTTCGACCGCCACCACCTTCACTGGTGTCCGGTCCCACTCTCCTGGGTTTTCCCCTCAGGCCTCTCTCTGCTTGGTAAAAAGTGAGTTTGGTGTGTGTCGTTCGCGTGGCTGTCATTAAGGCAGTCTGTTATTGTGCGAGGCTGAATCAGTGGCTCTTTGTGCGCTCAGCTGTATGGTAATGCAGACAGCACCTGCTCTCCGCACAATGCGGAGAGAAAGAGCTCCCCTCCGCGCACGCCGCGGCCTCTGCGACAATGTCCGGCACATGTTCGAAAGACTCCCCCACCCCACACACACACACCGGCAACACACAACCTTTACACAACCGTCACCTTATTGGGTTTTTACACATCCATCAGATACTAGAACTTTTGTTTTTATTTTTTAAAGGGAAATGAGTTTATTGGGAGGGCCCAGGACACACGAATCACAATAAATTATCTATCTAACCTGCTCTCCTCTTTATAGACTCCAGAGAAAAATAAACGGAGGTGTAGACTCTGACTTAGCACCTAGCTTTGTGTTGAGACGCAATGAGCTGTGTACTTCCATCTCTGGAGGGTCCTTCTTGTTCCACCCCCAACACCTTGGCAGCTTCATTAGAATCCCAAGGTGTGATTACTGGATCTAAGTGTTGCTTTGATTGTAGAACAGCCCTTAGGGTGTGCCTGACAGGTGTCCTCCCTATAGGTGTTGTCCTATTAGTGAGAATGAACCCTGTCCTGGCAGAATATCTTTATCGTTTAGGCTGGTATCTGAATTAAGATGTATATAACGCACAGAAATAGAGAAGCTCCATACCCAGGAAAACACTGGTATCAATCTAGGCAGTTGCTTGGCAGACTCATCTGTGTTGGGCCATCTGGCAACTGGAATTACAGCTCCTTTTTGATGACCCAGCCTGTCTCCTGTTATCCTGACCCAAACACTTGCAAAGTTTTGGAATCAACAGGAATCCACACTTCAAGTTGTCATTGCTGACTCATAGACAATCAAAGAGTTGACCAAAAACCATGTGTACAATGTTCAAGGCTGAGGTGAGAAAAGCAGGGTTGGACCCCACTTTAAAAAAAAAAAACCACCAACTGTTTATTATAGGACAAATGGAGGCTTCAAAAGATACTGCCACCCCCATGGCAGACCCCCATAGCAGTGGCAAAAGCAGAGTCCCTGTCCTTTGTAAACTGTGTAGGGACTGGCTACATCACCACAGGCTAGGCTAGCTTGAATCCTAACTTAATCTTGCCACCTAGTGTTGGGATCCCTTTTTCACTAGGTTAACATTTCCTCTGAAAGTTTCGTTCTGAGAACTGTTTCTCGAGCTCAGAGTTACTCCCTGTGGGGAGAGGAACCAGGTGAAAGGGTTCCTGCAGCAGAGGACAGCCAAAGGAGAAAGGAAACAGGGTCAAATGCAGAGTCCTCTGTGCCTTCAAGACTACAAGAAGAAATGAAATATCAGGAACCTTTTAATTAGAAAACAGGAGAGGAAACCAGGGTCGTTTGAATGCCTGTTTAGAAAACTGGAAATGAAAAGTTCCACGTGCAAGGGCTTAGACCTTGAGGGGGGAGAACTTGTCCCAAATCTTTAACAAACACCCCTCGGTATCAAGTATTTGTTAAATTGACATGGCACAGATTTCTCGATTACAGTGGCAAAGCAGGGCTCAAAGGCATCGTAAAATCCATCAGAACCCTGCCCAAAGCGTTCATTCTTTTCCAACTTAATTTATGCCACACCATTCTGTATTGGGGAAATCAAGCAGAAAACTCTCCCCCCCCTTTCCCTCCTACTCCTTCTGCTCTTCTTCTTCTTCCTCTTCCTCATTCTCCTGTTTCCCCATTCTCAGCCTTCCACCCCTAAGTTGGTCCCTAGTCCTCTCTCTTTCAAAAGCAGAGCTAACGGGGGAGACTGTTTAACTTCAGTGTTTCTATAGGAGCCTGTTGTAGTTTAACTCCTGTGTACCAGTAGCTGAGAGGAACAAAGGGGAGACTCGAGGTCCAACTATTCATCCTTTCTTTGCACTTTAATTTTCATTGATTGGGAAGACAAGGGGAGCCCTTAGGGATTCGAGCTGGAGGGGGATGACACGCCTTTAGACGCCATCAGCCCCCTAGCCAGCCATCTGCTCTGAACCAAATGGCGTTTTTTCACTCCCTAACTGCATGTCTCTATACTCCCACAGCTAAGCACTCAGAACCCCCCCCCCCAATGCAGGAGGGAGCTTAAGCCAGAGTATGTTAAATAGATTTGCCTGAATGTTGGCCTAGCCAACAGATTTCCCCTCCCCACACACCATAAATCCTCACCTTGACCATTGGAAAAAGGAAGGAAACTTTCTTTTAAATGCTTTTTGATGTTTGAGCAAATTTACTGTACAAAGTGAGGCTCATTAGAACTGAGAAGACACCGAATACATCAGATACAGGACTTGAAGGAAGCATTTGTTGTCTGGTGGTAGTGTTGATTTTTTTCCACCAACAACACCCACCCCCCACCCCCGTCTGAATAATTGCAGTGGGTGGATAGGGCAGACTCAGGTTGCATAATTATCAGAATTAAGACCACAACAAATGCATCTGGGGTTCTGTCTGCAATTGATCCTGATTGTTTTCTGTATTTTACTTGTCCATGTGGTAATAAAAAACTCCCAGCCACAATCTTACTGCATTAAATGTGCCCATCTACAGCACAGGTCACCTAACTCTAATCCAGCTCTCTCTCTCTCTCTCTCTCTCTCTCTCTCTCTCTCTCTCTCTCTCTCTCTCTCACACACACACACACACACACACACACACACACACACACCAAAGGCTCAGTTTTCAAGGTATGGATATAACTGTGGCTGCAGACAGGGCAAGTGTTCATGAACAGTTCCCTAACAGTTCTCAGACTAGGCCCGCACAGGTTCAGTTTTCTGTGTAAACAAATCTGGAGCCCTGAGTGGGGTTTGTGTTTTCTCAGACCAACTGAACATTGTATACACAACAGAGGGCTCTCTCTTATTCCTGAGAATTAGGACCCTTGCTCAGAACAACAAAACTGAAACTTCCAAGCAGCAAATCTGGTGTTGATCAAACATGCCAGCTTGCTTGGGAGGAGGAGGAGGAAGAGGAGGAGGGGGAGGAGCCTGCGTATTAATTAGTGCTAGCGTCACATCTTGCCCAACAGCCCTTCTGTCCATTTTCCTCAGCCAGTTTTAGAATCAAAAGCAGTTCAAATATTAGAAAGAAAGAAAAAAAAAAACCTCCTTGCAGTGAGATGGAAAGCCAGCAAGCACCTGAGGCCCACCTGTCTGGTGTGTTTATGATAGGTATTTGCCAAAGTCTATGGCAGAACCCTCCTTTCAAAAGTCTCTCTACAGTGCCAGGCCTGGCCTGGAACTCGAGATTCTCCTGCCTCAACCTCCCTGATTCTGGGATTACAAGCATGTCAGCCATAATCCTGGCGCGCACACACTTTA